CAACAATTTGAGACAGGATGACTGACCTAGCTTTGCCCAGACTGCTCCATCTGAGCAGCATTCCAGTCCCATGGCCACCTGTGGGTTCAAAGGATTTGCTTGGTTTCCCAGCGGGGGCTGACTTAAGGATTCCTTGGGTATTCTTGAACTCTGGATTCTGCTTTACCCCTCAAAAATTAGTGCTGGGACTAACCATACTTTGCTTCATTAAAAAGGAATTAAAACCAGATCATCAGACTGACTTACGTGTATTGATTTTGAATGTGACTATAGAAATATCACACATAGAAACCATCTTTTTATCTTTGTTCTCTATTATGATCCTGTGCCTCATGCAGCCACTATAGGCACTATATTTTTTGTTATAAAAGAGGCCATGAGGGGCTTCAGAAAGAGCTGGCAGGCATAACCCCCCAAAATATAGATAGCATAAAGGAGAATGGTCATTGATCCAGTTAGTTTTTTAGAATATGGCTATGTCCTTCTGCCAAGATTAAAAGAGCACTACAAGTTAGAGAACAAAACATGACATGGATGCGGGTGTCTTGTTCTTCCCTCTAGTTTTAATGAAATGAGAAAGAAAAATGGCAGGCAGGACTTTAGTCCCAGCTACATCCTCTGAAAGCATAATCTGTATGTTTACATATGCATGCACTGGTTAGGTAATAGAAGTTTAGACAGGTCACATGCTCAGTAAGTAGCAAAGGTGACATTCCACATCTCGGTCTTCTAGATTCCAAAGCCTGAGTTTTCATTTCTCTTTCACTCTTTTTAACAATGTTAAAGATGGCAAAATGCATATAAGCACATTAGTCACTATATTAGCCATTTTAAGGATGAAATTCAGCGACATTAGTGCTATTATCATTGCTGTGCAACCACAATCAATTTGCAAAAAAATTTTCAGGACATTATTTGTCCTTTTGTGTCTGGCTTCGTTTACTTAGCATAAGGACTTCAGGGCTTACCCACATTGTAATATGTGTTAGCACTTCAATTTCTTTTGGAGGATGAATAATGTTCTGCATTATAAATATTGTATGCATATGCCACATTTGTTTATTCACTGTTCTCTTGATGGGCACTTGGGTTATTTCCATGTTTTGACTATTGTGAATAATGAAAACTGCAATGAACACCGGCATACTGGTATCCACTTGAGTCCCTGTTTTCAATTTTTGGATTCTATACCTGGAAGTAAAATCATTGAGTCATATGCTAATTTGATGTTTGTATTCGGAAAGAATTACCAAACTACTGGTTTCCATAGCAGCTATAACTTTTTACACTCCCACCAGCAGTGTGCAGAGGTTCTCAGTTTTCTCTCCCCTTATCAAAAGTTTTTATTTTTTTCTTTTCTTTTATTATTTTTTCTATTCACATTATCATCATCCCATGTGGAGTGGAATGTTCTCATGGTATCTCATTATAGCTAATCATGATGGGCATTTCAATGACATGTATGAAACTGGATATTTTCTCATAAACATAATAGACATTTGTATATCTTCTTTCAGGGGAATTACTAATGTCATTGAATATATATAATACTAAATGAAAAAATATATATACTATATATTTTATGTATATAAAATATATTACTGCACTACACTGCACTGCACTGTCCTTCCGTTGTTCATCGATTTGCTCGAGCGGGCCCAGTAACATTGTGAGACTTGTTACTGTGTTTGGCATATCGAATATGTCACAGGGAGCTTGCCAAGCTTTGCCGTGCAGGCGAGACACTCTCAGTAGCTTGCCTGGCTCAATAAATATATACTGCTTAAATACTATTTAGTCCCCTCTCGGACAGCCCGGCAAGCTACTGAGAGTATCCCGCCCACATGGCAGAGCCTGGCAAGCTACCCGTGGCGTATTCAATATGCCAAAAACAGTAACAATAACGGGTCTCATTCTCCTGACCCTGAAAGAGCCTCCAATATGGTCGTTGGGAAAGATGAGTAAGGAGAGGCTGCTAAAATCTCAGGGCTGCGACGAATGGAGATGTTACTGGCGGCCTGTTTGAGTAAATTGATGATCAATAGACTGACAGTGATATGGTGATATGGTGATATCTTCTTTGGGGATAGGCAAAGTTGTGTAATTTGTCCATTTTTTAAATAAGAATCTAATGAACATTTTTGTTTTTATGTGGTTAAGTTGGAGGAATTCATTTTATATTCTGCCTATTCAGAAAATTTTTAAATTCACTATTCAGATAGAAGATGTGTGAATATTTTCTTCCAGCTTGTAGGTTGTTTTTTCACTTTCTTTTTTTTCCCCTTTTTTTATTAGTGAAACACCTTGAGGTACAGTTATAGACTTACAAATTTTGTGCTTGGGTTTCAGCCATACAATGATCAAGTACCCATCCCTCCACCAGTGCCCATCATCCACCACCATGGGTTCCAGCATCCCCCCACCCCCCACCCCACCCCCCGTCCCACCCTGCCTCTGTGGCAGGGTATTCCCCCTTGTTCTCTCTCTCTTCTTTTGGTTACTGTGTTTTGCAAGAGAGGCATTGAGTGGCAATCATGTTTGGTCTATAGACTACTTTTAGCATGCTTCTCCCACCCTGGGAGGGTCCTCACAACACCCTTTACTTGGTGCTCTCTTCTCAACACCCTTTGATTCATGAAAGTTTTTTGCTTTCATTTTCTACTACTCTAAAACCCAGTGTATCTTTTGTTGTTGTTGTGATTGTTGTTGCTCATGCTTTGCATGTCATAGTTATGACCAAATTCAAGATGTCATAGTTAAGAATCTATAACCAAATCCAAGATCTAGGTTTTCTTCTGCTTTCCTCTCCTTTGAATAATATGTTATCATCTAGATTTTACTACTTACTACTTCATTGAGTTAATTTCAGAGAGGTCACTTAAACACGTCCTTTATATCTGTCCTGGAGGGTCCACAGAGTATGGTAAAACCAAACCCACCATGACCTATGCCAGGTAACAGCGTGAGACTCTTGGTTGATTCTCTCAATATTTGTAGAAAAAAATTCACTAAATTTCATGAATAGTCTCTTATTTTCTCAGTGTATTTTTTTTTCCTACAATACTATAATGTTCTTGGAACCTAGAATACTAGAATGTTCTTGGGCTAAGAACAGAGGGGAAAGTTCCTTTAAGTGGCACTACAATTCTGTGTCAGACTTCCACATTTAGGGGAGAAAAATAGAAAACCATGAGATTCAAGTAGTTAAAAGCTGTCCCAGAGACTAGGGTAGATTCCTGTTAGAATCCCAAAGCATGTTGGGGATCCCTAATGGGGGTTTGAATGAGGCCAGATTCACTTTCTTTCTCAGCTATCTGACCTAGTTCTGCTTCCTTGTCATCTTTGTGCAAAGGGTTTTGGAAATAGAGAGTGGATTAAAAAAAGGAAAATCAAAGCTAGTTTTCTTACTTAGTTTGTGTCCTCTGGGTAACTTCTGACTGATTCCTCTTATCTGTTTTGTCAGACGATTTTCTTTCTCATTTGTTTAAGGTGCGTAAAGGGAAAAAAAGTAAAGAAAAAAGAAAAGCAGAAAGAACCTCCTCAGAAAGGAATAATTGTTTTCTCATGGGAAAGAACCCTCTGTTGTATTTGGGGACTGAATGAAGTTCTGCCAATGACTTCACCCTTGTAAAACGTTGAAATTCTCCCAAACATACTAATTAAGATACTTTTTAAAAAATCTCTGTTGGTTTTAGCTTTGAAGATAGCATAAAAATAGCATGCTGCAAAATTGAGGAGCTAAGTTTGGAGGAAATGACATGATCTCTCCTCTTGGCACTTGGTCTGGCACTTGAGTGACCCTGTTCTGAAAGTGAGTTCCGAGTATTTTGATGACTCAAATGTCCAGGCTGCATGGTACAGTCAAGGAGTTGAAAACTTTCTCCTGGAACTCTGCAATGCACAAGCTCTATAGCTGAAAGGAGTAGACATGTGTAATCCATAAAAATAGAAATGATTCAATGGTTGGATAGATAACACCGTGGTAAGGTGCATGATTTATATGTGCCGGACCCAGGTTCACTCCCAGGCACCCCATATGGTTCTTGAAGCTTCCCCAGGAGTGATCCCTGAGTACAGAGCCAAGAAAAAGCCCTGAACTCTTTTAAGTGTGGCCCCAAAACAAATGAAACATAGAAATGAGCATAAGTACCCAAGCAATGCATACTTGTTTATAAATTAAATGTGTCTTGTGTATCCATCTACTTAGATGGTATATTGGTACAGCATGTTTTTTCTTTTATTAAGTAAAAGTAAAGGGACTGGGAAATAGTTCAGGGTTAAGGCATGTGCAAAGCATAGACCCAACCCTTGTTTCATCTCTGGTACCACACGGCCTTCTGAGAATTGTCAGTATAAACCTGGATGTCCCTGAGTCATACTAAGTGTGATCCTGGAGGTCCCCAACCACCCTGTTGTTTTCTGGCACAGCAGTGCCTGAGCTATGCCACATTCTCAGGCCCTAGCTTTGAACCATCTAACCCAACTGGCAGAGAATCACTGGGTGTGGCACCAAGTTCCTTGAGCACCCCTTGGAGGAGACTTTGCCCTATTAAACATTAATTCAAACAAGTTTTTATCTGTTTTGTGGTGAGTGGTTTTGGACCCCCTTCAAGGAAGGCCACGCCACTTTAGACACATTGTCTCAGAGAAATTCATGTTCTCTTCTCCAGCCTCACAGGCAGGACAACACATTTTTTTAATTTTTATTAGTGAAACACCATGAGGTACAGTTGTAGACTTACAAATTTTTGTGCTTGGGTTTCAATTATACAATGATCAAGTACCCATCCCTCCACCAGTGCCCATTTTCCACTGCCACAGATCCCAGTATCCCTCCCTCCCATCCCCCCCCATCCTACCCTGCCTCTGTGGCAGGGCATTCCCTTTTGTTCTCTCTCTCCTTTTTAACGGTGACTTTGCTTCTTAGTTGTAGAGTTCATCATGTGAGTCTTACTCTTTCCTTCTAGTACCTGCATCTCACCTGTCTGCTTCCCTTTCAGAGTACACAGTCATTAATGAAGGCTGCCCTGGAGCTGAGTGGAACATCATGTGCCGGGAGTGTTGTGAATATGACCAGATTGAATGCGTCTGCCCCGGAAAGAAGGAGGTGGTGGGCTATACCATCCCTTGCTGCAGGAATGAGGAGAATGAGTGTGATTCCTGCCTGATTCACCCAGGTGAGTGTGAACGTGGAGCTCTCAGGTTGACCTGACATTTTCTGAGTGGAGAATAGGAATAGGCTGAATATATGGATTCTGGAAGTTTGTCCTCAAGCAACTGTAATGTTATTACTATTTAAAATGGTTCGGCCCAAAAGGGAATGCCCTACCACAGAGGCAGGGTGGGATGGGGGGGATGGGAGGTGGGAGGGATACTGGGATCCGTGGTGGTGGGAAATGGGCACTGGTGGAAGGATGGGTATTTGATCATTGTATAATTGAAACCCAAGCACAAAAATTTGTAAGTCTACAACTGTACCTCATGGTGTCTCACTAATAAAATTTTTTTAAAAAATGGTTCGGCCTTGGGGACTGGAGCAATAGCACAGCGGGTAGGGTGTTTGCCTTGCACGCAGCCAACATGGCCGACCCGGGTTCAATTCCTAGCATCCCATATGGTCCCCTGAGCACCCCTAGGAGTAATTCCTGAGTGTATCAGCCAGGAGTAACCCCTGAGCATTGCCGGGTGTGACCCAAAAAGCAAAAAAAAAAAAAACGGTTTGGCCTTATCTATTGGTGGACAAAGGAACTGGAGGAGTTGGTACTTGTGTTACTCATTTGCTCTTTTGACACAGAATGAGTGACTCCTACCTGTCAGGTGCTGAGTGAGAATATAGTGATTTTTACACACACACACACACACAGACACACACACGGACACACACACACACGCACACTTGCTGCATTTCAAGAGCTGGAAATCCAGTGAAACTGATGAAGGAATCAACACAATGCATGAGGTACAATACAGTACAACACATGGTAAGAGGTAGGAGACAGCAGCAAACCCAAGATACATAGGAGCATGGGTGGGTGGGGGTTGGTAGAGGGAAGGTCACAGTCACAGTCACAGTCCTCCCGTTGTTCATCGATTTGCTTGAGCGGGCCCAGTAACGTCTCCATCATGAGACTTGTTGTTACTGTGTTTGGCATATCGACTACATCACAGGTAGCTTGCCAGGCTCTGCCGTGCGGGCGAAATATTCTCAGTAGCTTGCCAGGCTCTCTGAGAGGGGCGGAGGAATCAAACTTGGGTTGGCCATGTTGGCTGCGTGTAAGGCAAACGCCCTACCGCTGTGCTAGTGATAGCTTAGTAGAAAAGGTAAAAATGTGAGAGAAAGAAGCAGCAAAATGGAAAGGGTGCAGGGAATCTGGTAGAAAAATTCAGGTATAGAGGACAGTATGTGCTAAGGTCTATGGCAAGAAAAAGATAACTGAATTTATAGCAGGTTTTAGCATGAAGAAAAGACTAGAGGCTAGGTAAAACTAGGACTGAATGGATAATCAAGACTTCAGTGAACTTAGAAGTCCTGTGGTTAAAGAGAGCTAGGGCAGAGGTATTTGAGAACTATCAGAGTGGGGGTTGATGGGACTTGGGGTTAGTCGGATGAAGAAGGAAGAGAAGAACTCAAGGATGATTCTGTGACCTTGAGTTGAAAATTTGGGAGATTAATGTTCAGTGGTCGCAGTAATGTGGAGCAGCTTAGGGTAATGTGAAAGCTTCCTAGGTATTGTGCCTAGTTATTTGTCTTTGTCTTCGAACCTACCTTCCTTCAAACCCTCCACCCCCATGGAAGGACAGTGATTGTGCTTTTTCATTCTAGTGTTTGCAGGGTAGAGACTTGTGTGAGCAGGGGGTTTCAGCATGAATCTGATTTCCAACATGGAACCAGAGAGTACAGCTAGTAAGGTGTTTGCCTTGCCAGATTCTATCTTGGCATCACATATGTTCCCCTGAGCATTCCAGGAGTGATCCCTGAGTACAGTGCCCAAAGTACAGCTGGGCATGGCCCCCCAAACAAAGAACTAACAAACAACACATGGTTTCCAATGTGATCAGCCAGTCACGGAGGATAGTGTACATTATCAAGAACATTATTTTGTTGAAAGTGAGAGGAAAGAAAACAGGGCTCAGCTGTAAATATGGTACATCAAAGCTTCCTTCTTGGAAGAGAATAATGCTGAGTTTCAAAATAGGGATGATCTCAGTATTGCACATTTGATCCAGAAAAGAAACCCAGTGCCCCAATTCCTTGATGCTTGGTTTGTGAGGAAAGAACTGGCTAATGCCTCCATTATCTCGGAAAATTCTGATTGCTAAGCAAAGACCTCGGATCCTTGGCAGTTAAGTGGATGTCTTTGGATGACTTAATTATTTTCAAAAGTCTAGTGGGGCTGCAAAAATAGCTCACCACTCTGGAATATGTTCTTTGCCTGCAGGAGGCCCAGGTCAATCCCTGAAGCATTGCATATTCTCCCAAGCACGGCTCTCCTGCAGAAAAGAATAGCTCCTGAGCACCGCAAGGAATGGCTCAGATGCCAACCCCCCTCCGGACTACTGGTTAATGTTAGGGTGAGGATGGGACTTTGGCATGGAGGCATGTGCTGTCAGGGCTCTGTGCTTTCTATTATATCACGCAAGAGTCAGCCCACAGCGCCTCCTAGAGTCAGGCTTGGATAGAAGTGGTGAAGAGCTGCCTCACACTAACCATTTGACTACCCAAACACAAGGCTGGATAAGACTTTATTTTCTAAACAAAATTTCAAACCGGTAGGCTGAAGTCTTAGTCAATCCATACTGGCAATCAAAGAAGTCTCTGTATGCGTCATGGTGTCATTTGACATACTTACCTGATTTAATTCACTCTAGTCCTTATTCATTTCAGTGTTCCCATCATTCGACTTTAGGATGCTCAAAATCCCTTCATGTCCTTCTGTGTTCTTCTGACACTGCCATACTCGTTTTTGAAGGTTTTCTTGATTTCTCAGATAACAGGATAATTTGGGTACTTCTTGTTCATTTTCTGCTTTCGGTGTGAGGGCCGGCCATTTCTCTAAGAAACTCTGAACTGGAGGCCCCAAACTAGCTGCCTGAGGCATTCCTTGAGAAGTAACAAGTTTATGTAACTTTAAGTAGCAAGTAATGTCTAAGGTTGTTTACTTTTAGATTTTGTGTCTGTCTTTTCTCACGGTGAAGTTCCTGTTTACTAAAAATATTAAGCCAATCACTTATTTATTTTATCATCCATGATAACATAATATAATTGTACAAAATAGCATTGTCGGTTTCCACTAATAAGTCCACCAAATGAAGTTAAGATAACTTTGTGATTATTAACTTTAGAGTTTATCCCCACTATGTATCCAATCACAATACAGTGTTTTTATGCCAGTTTGTATTGTTCTTTTCTCTGTAGGGAAAAGAGCATATATATGATATATAGAAAAGTTTCGCGGCCGCGCGACATCCTATTATGACATCTTATTATCTCATTCCTACTTGGGACAAACTGGCAGGCTACCGAATGTAGCCTGCCCACACGGCAGAGTCTGGTAAACTCCCCGTGGCATACCCAATATGCCAAATACCAGTAACAATGATGGGTCTCATTCTTCTAAAGAGCCTTGAATATAATCTCAGGGCTAGGATGAAGGAGACGTTACTGGGGCCTGCTCGAGGCAATCGACGATTAACAGGATGATTTGTGATTTGTGATTTGTGATAGAAAAGTTTATTGTTTCCACCTATTTTCTGTGTTAGATAATACAAGCAAATATGTACATGAGTATATTCTTTTATGCATCTTTCCCCTGTTAACATAAAGTACATCATATATAAATATTGTTTACTGCTTTCCTTTTTCTCTTAACTATATACTATATACTGGAGTTCACTCACAGACAGTTGGAGGTAATCATTGCTTTAGTTTTTTTTATTTTTGAGTCACACCCAGTGATGCACAGGGGTTATTCCTGCCTCTGCACTCAGGAATTACTCCTGGTGGTGCTCAGAGGACCATATGTGATGCTGGGAATCGAACCCGGGTTGGCTGCGTGCAAGGCAAATGCCCTACCCGCTGTGCTATCGCTCCAGCCCCTCTAATGTATTTTTACACTTGCATCTAGCTGTGTGAACTACTATGTTCTGAGAATTTGGGTTGTTTTCCGCCTTGGGCTGTTATAAATAATACAAATAATGCTAGAGTAAATAGCCTTAGGCATTAGGTGCCTTTGCTGGGTCAAAGGGAGTTGTGCGCATCAATTTGCTAGCCTCTGCCAAATTCTCTCTGCATTTGGCCATCCAGCAGGCAGATCTGCTGAAAGCTTTGCCACAGACTATAAGTCATTATGAATTCTGCCCAATTCATCCAGGAGACTGGGGCCTCAGCATGGGTTTAGAATGCCTTTTCTAACACCATGACTGAGAGCAATCCTCTCTGCCAGAGACAGTATAGCATAGGGCCAGTGTCTGGGGATACAGTGGCTGGGATGCCAATGGTAACTGCCATAATGTCTGGTGGCACCAGGGTCTCACCGGACCAACTATGTACATTAGGAGGGATCCCAAGAAATACTCAGAGGGGTCTGGGGACCACTCTCAGTGATACTCACCAACTAGGCCAGATGGTTTAGAGCTAAGGACCAGCGCCAGGGATGCTGTGCTGGACACCACCAGGATACTAATCCCCATGATGTTCAGGAACATCAAGTTTAGGGCTACAACTGATGGTGCTTCCTGCCAGTGCATGCAAGGAAGGAGCCCCTGGCCACTGAGTTATCTCCTCTAAATAGTGTTCATCTGTGATTCTAGGCTTGTCACTTAAGTCTTGTACTCTGGCAATTCTGAGAGTGCTTAGAGTCTCTTTAACATAACTTTGCTCATCCTAATCACCAGGTTGGTACTTGTGGTTTGCAAAAGTGGGGGAGCTATAAGGCTCTCTCCTATGGAAATCACCCTGTATATTCTATAGATAGCATGTATAGCTACAGACAGCAATAAACCTGATTTCAACCCAAATCACAGAAGCGTGCTCTCAGCTGAGAAATGCTGGCTATCCCAAGAGATTCAGAAATCTGGATTATCAATTTAGTCATCCATTCAATCTGTTTATTCACTCCAGTAATATCTAATGGAGATTATGCACCATATGCACTGTAGCAGGTGCTAAGGACATATTGCTAAACCACATGCCATCCCTGGCTTTAGTCTATTAGAGGAAACAGGTAATAGGAAGTTAAAATTGACCATGCTATATGCCATGGTCGGAATAAGACAAATAAAGGTATGGAAATGCAGAATCACAATAATATTATGGAGTACTTACTATGTGCTGGGCTCCTTACATGTGTTCATTTGACTGTGACAACAACTCCATGAAGTATGTACCATTTTTTAAACTCGTATTCCAGATGAGTATATTGATTGAGACACAGAGGGTTTAAACAATTTGATCAAGGACAATGACAGTAATGGAATTTAGCTCTCCACTTGAATAGATAAGCTTGAATGCTCTCTGCCTGTCTTCACCATCCCTCATCCCGCAAGAAACCCAGTTTAGAATAACCCTGTCTAGGAATTGCTAGACCGTCACTGATGTAGCTTAAGAGTGGAATTAGCCTGATACCTTCCAGGGTGGGCCATTAAGCATACAGCACTATCACTGTCCTCCCATTGTTCATCGATTTTCTTGAGCGGGCCCAGTAACGTCTCCATTGTGAGATTTCTTGCTACTGTGTTTGGCATATCGAATATGGGTAACTTGCCAGGCTTTGCCTTGCGGACGAGATACTCTTGGTTGCTTGCCGGGCTCTCTGAGAGGGGCGGAAGAATCGAACTTGGGTTGGCCATGTTGGCTGCGTGCAAGGCAAATGCCCTACCCGCTTGTAGTCGTGACATATATATAGAATAAAAATACTTAGCTGGGGAAATAGTTCAAAGGATTGATATATGTGAGGTCCATGTTTGATTCCCAGTACCACGTGGTCCCCTGAGCACCACCAGGAATAACTCCTGAATACTGCATTGAGCACTGGGCATAACCCCTGAGCACTGTCCTGTAAGGCCTCAAAACAACAAAAAAAAGGTAGTGGAATGAGAAGATATTTGCTATTTTTAAATGGAAAAATACATTACCAAAACAAAATGTATAGTGTATGTTATAAGCTTAATTTAAAGAATAAAAAAAATAGAAAATAGTGTGTGCATATAGAGAAAAGTATTATCAGTTGATGTTGGAGTTTTGGGGGGGTGGAGAGATAGTAAAGGAATTAACAGTTGACCCTAGTTAAACCACAACACCATATATGGGTCCCAAGACTTAATCCCTGAACACAGAATCAGGAGTAAATACTGACCACGGCCAGTGTGGCCCCAAAACCAAACAAACAAAAACTCCTGCTGAGATTTAACTTTTTTTTCTTTTGGTAGTGATAAAGGCTATCGAATGTAACCTGCCCACGTGGCAGAGTCTGTAAAACACAGAGTCTGTGGCGTATTCAACGTGCCAAAAACCAGTAACAATGATGGGTCTCATTCTCCTAACCCTGAAAGAGCCTTGTATATGGCACTTTTTAAAATCTCGGAGCTAGGACGAAGGAGATGTTACTGGGTCGCCTGCTCAAGGCAATCGACGAACAACAGGATGATCATGATTGTGATTACTGGGATTTTAGGTACTAATTTTATTATTTTCACTTGTCTGAATTTATGAATATTCTACCATAAACATACAAATAAAAGTAGAAAAATGCACTGTACTGACAGTCAGTCTTTCACTATTACTTTATGTTCCTTTTAAACATCAGCCACTGGATTAAGGCACTTGCTTTGCATGCTGCTGACACTGATTTGATCCTCATCACCGCATATGGTCCCCTGAGCACTGTCAGGATTATTCCCTGAACACTGAGACAGGAGTAAGCGCTGAGCACAGGGGGGTGTAACTCACTATGAAGATGCTTTGGATCACGCTTAAAATGACACTATCTGAATTCTGGTGACTTGCATTTTCCTTAATCACTTAATCACTTAACTTCCCGTTAGTCGGTGATTTGCTCGAGCAGGCGCCAGTAACGTCTCCATTTGTCCCTGTCGCGTGCTAGTGTAGCCCAATGGCATCTGTTCGCTCTGGGAACATGAAGAGCCTCAAACCGATCGTTCATGATCTTGACGAAGAAGTCTGACCATCTGGTAGGTGGGCGGCCACGCGGTCTCTTGACATCCCGTGGAATCCAATCAGTAACAGCTCTAGTCCAACGGTCGTCTTTAAATCTCATTACGTGACCAGCCCATCTGATTTTCGACACCTTGGCAAATGAGACAGCGTCCCTGATTCTTGATCGTGGACGGATGTCAGAACTCCGGATTCTTTCTCTCATTTGAGTGAAACGTGATATTCCAAGCATAGCTCTTTCAATTCTTCTTTAGGAGACCTGAATAGCGTTCTCATCCTGTTTGCGTAGGGTCCATGTCTCTGAGGCATATGTTAATGCAGGAAGAACAGTGGAATCAAAGAGATGTGCCCGGAGCCGGAGGTTCTTTGTCTTCTTAGTTATTTCTTCGATGTTCTTGAAGACGTTCCAAGCCACTCTCTTCCTCCTGCGCAGCTCGGGTGCCAGGTCATTTGTCATGTTGACTTCTCGACCTAGGTACACATAGCTGTTGCATTCGGAGATGGTCGTTCTGTTGAGAGCGAATGGGGCATCAGGAACGAGGCTGTTTCTCATAAACATTGTCTTTGTAAGATTCAGCTATAGTCCTACCTTTCCACATTCACGGTCAAAGTCGGCCATCATTTGTGCCGCTTGGCTGATGTTTGGTGTTATTAAAACAATTTTCCTAGGAGAAAGATATTCTTTCCTGAACATTATCTCTATACCTTTCAAGGAGTGGGTTCCCTCCATTAAGAGAAGGATCTGTGATGATGGTGGATTATTTTAGGCAGTCCATTGAACCTGCAAGTATTTAACTCTCCCCCTTTTTGGAAATGTTGCAGGTTGTACCATCTTTGAGAACTGCAAGAGCTGCCGGAATGGCTCATGGGGGGGCACGCTGGACGATTTCTATGTGAAGGGGATCTACTGCGCCGAGTGCCGGGCCGGCTGGTACGGAGGAGACTGCATGCGTGAGTAACCCCTGAAATAGCTTCATCCAACAGCTGTTCGGTTGCAATGACTCCGTTTGCAGTCAAATCAGGTTTAGCTTACTGGAATTGGAATTCAGGAAAGCTTGTTACTAAAGGAGTTTCTGTGCTCAGGGAAACTCCTAGTGGGCTCTGGAGACCCAGATTGAACCCCTGTTGGCAATGTGAAGGCAAGCACCCTACCTACGTACTATATTATCTCTTGCCCCCTAGAGGGGTTTCTGAGTAAGACTCTAAAAGAGCCAAGATGTGTTTCCATCTGCTGGATGTGGATTTTGATATCTGTTTGGAATTGGCCACAGGAGGTTTATGCCTGCTCCGAGATCTTTCCCTTTCTCCTAGATGAAGCCAAGGTCTGTTGCACACAGCCTGCACAAACCAAGGTTGCACATTATTAGCATTACACATTGTGGATGAGGCTTCAGAAAGGCTAAGTCTGTCGTGCCTTTGAATTTCTCAGGATGAACTTCTTGAACCCTAAGTTAAATTCTTGAAATCCACATCAAATTGTCAGCATAATCCCTTGTCCCGGAAAGGATTCTTTCTGGATTTTATTTGATCTTCCAAGAATTTCTTAATCTGTCTTAGGGTTCCTCTATGAGTCTCAAGATTTCTATGAAATTGGAGTAGAATGCTCATCTTAAGACTCCCCTCTGCACTCCACTCATCTGCAGAATATAAAATAACATACTATGAGACTGATACCCAAGGACAGTAGACATAAGGGCCAGGAATATTGCCCCATAGTTGGAAGCCTGTCTTATGAGCTGGGGAGAAGACAGCTGGAATAGAGAAAGGATCACTAAGATAATGATGGTTGGAGGAATCGTTCAAGATGGGAGATGTGTGCTGAAAATAGATCAAGGACCAAATGTAATAACCTCTCAGTATCTGTGTTGCAAACCATAATGCTCAAAAAGTAGAGAGAGAGAAAGAGAGAAAGAGAGAGAGAGAGTATGGGAGAAATTATCTGCCATGGAGGTAGGGAAAGGGTTGGAAAGGGGAGATATACTGGGGACATTGGTAATGGAGAAAGAGCACTAGGGGAGGGATGGGTGTTTGATCATTGTTTGATTGAAACTCGAACATGAAAGTCTGTAACTTTATCTCACAGTGATTCAAGTTAAAAAAAGGAAAAATAAAAGACTCCCTGCTGCATTGTCCCTCCAAGAGTCTTTGTGTGGGGACAGGAGTGACAGTACAGCAGGTAGGACATTTGCCTTGCACGTGGCTGACCTGAGTTCAAACCCCAGCATTCCATATGGTCCTCTGAGCCCACCAGGAATGATCTTTGAGTACAGAACCAGGAGTAAGCCCTGAGCACTGCTGGTCCAAGCTCCCTCCACCCACCCAAAGGAATCTTTATATGAAAATTATGTTCTTTTAAGCCTATTTGACATGCCCCTATATGAATCAAAAGTAGTCAGAATGGTCTTTTCTTTTCATTTTGGGGCACACTCAGCGATGTACAGGGGTTACTCCTGGCTCTGCACTCAGGAATTACTCCTGGTGGTGCCTGGAGGGTCCTGGGGCTGAGATCTCCAAGCCTGCTCGGATTGGGGCTGAGCATCCTCCACCCAGATCCCCATCTTCCAGTAGGCAGGCGTCACACCCACCAACTGCCCCTGGCACCAGGTAATCCCATCAACGGCCAACACCAGAGACTATAAAACTCAGCTCCCAGACATCTTATTATCTCGTTCTTACTTTGGACAACCTGGCAGGCTACCAAATGTATCCTGCCCACATGGCAGAGTCAGGCAAACTCCCCGTGGCATACTCAATATGCCAAATACCAGTAACAATGATGGGTCTCATTCGCATAACCCTGAAAGAGCATTTCACAGGGCTAGGACGAAGGAGACATTACTGGGGCCTGCTTGAGGCAATCGACAAACAACAGGATGATTGTGATCGTGATCAGTGTCTGGAGGACCATATGGGATGCTGGGAATCGAACCCAGGCTGGCCACATGCAAGGCAAATGCCCTACCCGCTGTGCTATTGCTCCTGCCCCAGGATGGTCTTAAAATCTGAACTTTTTTTTTACTTGGACCACAGATCTGGTCAGTTTATAGAACTAGTCTCCCTGATCTACCCTTAGCAAAATGACCTGTGTTTCAAGAGTCCAGGGCAAAGCAGGTGAACTGTGTGGTCTGTGGAGGAGGGACCCAGGTCACCCAGCAGAGGAGCATGTTGGTGCTTCATGGTGAAGCTGAGAGTTATGCTATCTGATGTATAGGTCACTTACAAAGGTTTAGAGCTTCCATACCTTATTTTGATGGTTTCTAGAAAACTTAATTTATCCCATCAGAGATTATATTCTAGTGGGTTCCCTGATAGATTTAACTCAGGTCTGCCTTTGACAGCTGTTCAGCTGACAGCTGTTCTTAAGCTCCGGAATGACAAAGATCAGGGTTAGTAATGGCTTGCTCTGTCACTGGCATTGTGACCATGGACAAGTCAATTAGCCTTTTAGTCTCAGTCTCAGTCTCATTTTCCTATTCTTTAAAATGGGAAGGAAGAATGTCGCCAGCCTCAGAGGGCTACTTTGACAATGGGATCATGCCTGAGAGACACTCAGCATACTGCCCGGCTCATAGCAAAACCTTGAATAATGCAAAAAATATAGTTGCCCTTGGACAATGTGGGTTTGAACTAGGTGGGTCTATTAATATGCATATTTTCCCATAAATATGATCATTGTATAGATTATCATACCTGTAAATAAAATACATATTTTTACATTACCTTTTCACTTTTGATATCATTTATTAGCAATATCATTAGTAGCTATAGTTTTTTATATCCTAGGAGACACCGTTGATGTAAGTACAGAGATAATTCAGCTTATACAGAGATGACATAAATGTGTTGTACTGATAAATACAGTATCACTGTATCACTGTATCACTGTCATCCCATTGATCTTCAATTTACTTGAGCTGGCACCAGTAACATCTCTATTCCTCCCAGCCCTGAGATTTTAGCAGCCTCTTCTTACTTGTCTTTTCCCAATGATTGGAGGCTCTTTCGGGGTCAGGGGAATGAGACCTATTGTTGTTACTGTCTTTGGCATATCAAATACACCATGGGGAGTTTGCCAGGCTCTGCCCATGTGGGCGGGATACTCTCGGTAGCTTGCGGGGCTCTCCGAGAGTCATAAATTGGTAGGAAGTATCTTATAATGTGTTGCAGTATTGTAAGTATATTTTCTGTTATGATTTTCTTAATACCATTTTATTTTCTCTGGCTGACTTTTATTGAAAGAGAATATATATATATAATCAAAATATGTTATGGTATTGATAAGACTTCTGGCCAACAGCAGGTTCCTAAATTGTTAGGTTTTGGAGAGTCAAAAGTTATCCTTGGTCTTTGATCCAGCACCCTTAATCACCTGTTGACTCAAGGTCAACCATCTATCACTTATTTTATATATATATATATATATATATATATATATATATATATTTAATTGCTGAGTGGACCAGAGGGCCAGAGATAAAGATACTTATAATAAAAGCTCAGGAAGAATAGGTAGAGGGGTTGAAGTGACATCTGTAATGGTAGAACATATGCCTGACATGTGCGAGACCCCAAGTTCAATTCCTGACTTTATAAGACATCTCCCACACTGCTTAGTGCAGCTGGTGAGCTAGGTTCCAGAGGAGTGTCATAGGAAACGACCCCCAGTTCTCCTAACATCACTGGGTGTGGCCTCTGGAAGCAAAAGAAAAGGGGAAAAATGTTCATTTGTACAGGGCATATATTTTTCTCTTGCTGATGATTTTGGTTCTCTCCTCTTTGGCTATGGGAGAATTCTCATTTCTTAGTGTGTGTGAGTGAGTGGCAAAGGATGTATGATGAGGTGCAGTCTCACGAATTCTAGAGTCACCATAAGTAACTTCTGTTCTGTTGTCTGTGTCTTTGGGTTTGCTTTCATTGGCCATTGTTTATTCCTTTGCCCTGTCTCTTTATATTCTACTTATGAGTGAGATTATTCGGCCTTTGCTTTTCTCCTTCTCACTTATTTTGCTTAGCATGACATCTTTAGTTCCATTCGTATTATGGCAAATGGAAAGATTTCATCTTTTTTTAAAAAAAAATCTGAGTAGCATTCCATTGTGTGCATGTGCTACATCATTTTTATCTGGCCATCTCTCTTGAAATACTTGGATTATTTTGACAATTGTTGTAAATAGAATAACTGCAATAGATATTAGTATACTTTTATGTTTCTGGTTTAGTGTTTTTGCATTCTTTTAATAGATACCTATGAAAGAAGTTGCTAGAGATGTGTAGTTCTACTTTGAATTTTTTTTTGACATCTCCTAACACCTCAACCAGTTTATATTCTCACCAACTCTAAAAGAATGTTCCTTTTTATCCTCACCAACAGCTGTTGTTTCTGAGGGTTTTTTTTTCATGTAGCCTCTTCTCACTGGTGCGAGATGACATATCAGTATAGTTTCTATGATAATTAGTATTTTGAGCATTTTTTCCATGTGCCTATTCTATCTCTGTTCTTAACCATAGCCCCATCCAACTCCATTGGGGAGTTTCCCCTATAACATTCATATTATTTTTGAAGAGTGCTTACAAGACCTCTGCTGAGAATAGAATAGAATAGAGGTGAGGATGTAGCATGAGAGTACTAGTAGTTTGGGACAGTCACACAAGGAATAAGGGAACATACTAGCTCATGGTACAGTAAAGCATGTCCCAGCAAAACCAAGGATACAGTTGAAACTGGAACTCTTCTGGAAGTGATGTAGTCAGGATGGTTAGGACACTGTTCTTTAGCAGTGCAGTAGAAGAGGTGAATTAAACTAGTCATTTGTTTGATCCGGGATAGATTAAGACATGACTGTGTGGGTTGGGTATGACAGGAAACCAGAAAGATCCTGTTGGGGAGATAATAGCAAAATGACGTCTCAATGAGGTGGAAAAGTATGCTTTGTGTTAATGAAATAGTATCA